TTAATAATTATTAACTTTCTGGTAAGTATGCGGTCTGCCCGTGATGGCTGAACGAACTGATAAATAAGCAGGCAAGTCCCCCCGGGGGGGGGTTCCCCCCCCCCCCCCGCGGGCCGTCTATATCTCCAGCTGCAGACGCAGCTCTGAGCTCCGTCCCGCTGTCTTGTCTCGGTGGCCTGTGCTTCCGGCAGTCTGAATCCATCTCACTGTTGCGCCAGGTGAATTAAATCCCAGCGGTGGCATTTCGAAGCCCAGAGGCTTCGTTCTCGGGGCTGGTCGCACAAGGCTTGGCTCCGGTGGCACTTGCAGAATGGAAACCGGCTTGCTTTCAACAGCCGTGAGTGGGCATGCCGAGAAATCTTGCTCCTGGTCATGCTGATCCGCAGCATGTCTTGTCCCATCGTGGTGGCCGCTGGCTCATCAGCTTCTCCTAAACCTGCTTCTGGAGCAGAAGCTCAGCGAGAGAAGGTCCTGTTCAGCATGGTCTCTTGAGCATCGCTTGACTCATTTGCACCTTTCTTCCCCAGGACTCCCTCTTTGTCTGTCCTCTCCTTGCAGGGTGTGAAGGAGGTGACCCTCTTGGGCCAGAACGTCAACAGCTACCGGGACATGTCCGAGGTCCAGTTCCTCTCCATGGCATCCCCGCAGCTCAGCCGGGGCTTCCGCACCATCTACAAAGCGAAGCAGGGGGGGTTGCGCTTTGCAGAACTGCTGGACCAAGTGGCTGCCGTTGATCCAGAGATGAGGATCCGCTTCACTTCCCCTCACCCCAAAGACTTCCCAGACGAGGTGGGTCAGGCCCCACTGAGCTCTTCCTCGCCCACATCCAGCAGCCGCGCGCCAGTAACAACCCCTCTGCATTTGGCAGGTCTTCGAGGTCATGCGGGAGAGGCACAATATCTGCAAACAGGTGCACCTTCCTGCCCAGAGCGGCAGCTCCCGTGTCCTGGAGGCCATGAAGAGAGGGTGAGACATGCACGTGTGTCTGGGATGTTAAGCACCTTGAAAGTGTCTGGCCCCTCCCCACGTGGCATTCCCCTTTGGCAGCACAGTCTGAAAGCACAGGTTGGGAAAAGTGGCCTAGATTCTGGGCTGCAAGCACAAAGCAGAACACACTTCTCTTCTAAGCACATGCATCTATCCCAGTAGAAGAGAATCTCTCTAGCTCAGAGTTGAACTGTGGAGTCCTTGGTGCTCTCTGAGCTTGGTTGTTTGATTTCAGGCATTTCATTACCCAACTAGATGCCATCATCAGTGCAAGGGAGGGTGGGGTTTGCTCCCTGTTTATATACAGTGGGGCAAAAAAGTATTTAGTCAGCCACCAATTGTGCAAGTTCTCCCACT